CAGAGGCGCAGGGCGGCTATAAACCCCCCTGGGGCCAGCAAGCAGGCACTGATGCGCAGCTGACGCACCTGCATCCGGCTGACGTGGCCCTGTCCATCCCTGGGGCATCAGGGCGGGGGGTATGTGTGTGCATGGGGTGTCCCAAACCTACTGTCCCCTCCCCAGGACCTTTTTTGGTGTAATTCAGTCCTGTAACGCCTGACCCCTTCTCCTCGACCCAAATCCTCCCTGCGATGGCGTGGACCCTCTTGGGCTGGGGCAGGGTTTTGGGGCCTGGGTCTTGGCGTTCAAGGGCTGCAGGCTCAGGGCTGGGTTTCAGGGCTGGGTTTTGGGGTTCAGGACTTGTGTTCAGGGATGGCGTTTGGGGCTCAGGGCTGGGGTTTGGGGTTCAAAGACTGACGTTCAGGGATCACCGTTGACCACAGAGTTCCCTCCTGCCCCAGGACCAGGGATTCATCCCGTGGGCACTCCAGGACAGACAGACAGACAGACTGCAGGGTCCAAGTGCCTCAGGTCCCCTGATGGGGCCGCAGGAGCCCCTTGCACTCCCCCTTTACAGACTACATAAACACAGGATGAATATGCAGGATTTAATTCTGTCTCAGCATTTTTATTACTATTTTAGGGAGTCTGTGCCGCAGCCACGGCTGCGGGGGGCTGGCAGCGGCCAGGCCGTTGTCCCCCTGTGCCGATCAGCCCAGCTCACCCTCGGGACAGGACTGGCAGTATGGGGAAAGTAGGGGCCATGCATCTCATCCCTTTGCTGGCCGGGGCCCATGACTTCAAGCCACCCCAGGGCTGCCAGGTGCTCACATTGGAAAATAACCTTTTTCTCCCCGTTCCCATGAGGAGCCGGTGAGGTCCAGCTGGTGCCCATTAACCCTCGGCATTTTGCCAGCGCAGCCACGGGCAGGCAGTCTCTCCTATGCTGGGGGTGATGCTGACTCTGGGGTTAAAGCCCAGCTGCTTGGGAAGGGACATGCCACGGGGGTCTTTCCCTGGCCGAGGACTGTCACATTCGGAGTAGCGGTCCCTTCGCGGGCCCAGCAGGGCTGGCATGGGCAGGGGGCTGGCCAGCGCTGGGGCCGGGGCTGGCCTGCATCCCTGTGGGGATGTAGTACAGGCTCTCCAGGTACCCAGAGTCAGGACCCCCAGCAGCAGGCGGCCCCTCGGCCTTGGGAGTGGGGCTGAAGGTCCCAGAGAAGCCGGGGTTTTCAGCAGCCGGCAAGTCAGGGTGCACTGGGGAGGGGGCGGTGGGCGGCGGAGGGGCTGGGAGCCCTGGGAAGCCGTTGTAGGGCATGTAGGACGGAGCGTAGACCCCTGGGGCCATGACCAGGGGGTTGAAAGGAGCCTGGTAGAGTCCGGCATGCGATGCCACTGGTGGGATGAGCACCTCCAGGTACTGCCCTGTCTCAGGGTCATAGAGTGTTTTCAGCTGGGGTTGCCGCGGTGGCTCCATGTAGTAGCATTTCCCACTTTCAGGATCGACGAGCATCCTCCGGTGCGCAGGCAGGTGAGGGGCGAAGGGCTTGGTGGGGGTTGGTGTGCTCTTGCTGCTTGGTGGGGCACCGTCAG